AAAACAATAAACTACTTACTGTTTTTGCTGTGTCAATTCATTATCTATCTATCAATTCATCCATATTCCTAACCATTTATCCTATTTAGGGCTGTGGGATAGAATTTAGAATCACCAGTTAACCTGAGATGCATGTCTTTGGTCTATGGGGGGAAGTCCAAGTACCCAGAATAAACCCAGACAGAGAAGGCAGAGTTTAAAAGGATAAAGAAGAAATAAACAGCAAAATAATATAATGCTTATTATGTAAATAATTTCATTACATTCGTAAAAATGAAAGGTACAGCTTAAAAAACATTATGCCAGTAGCCGTACTAAATAGCATCCACCTTATCTCCATACATTACACACACTGCTGTAGCTTGGAGTCCTTGCATTGCCCTTTCAGGCCCTGTTAAGTATACAATGTAACACTGCTGTTCACACTGGACCAATGAGAGCAAAGGTCATAAAGACAGGAAATTACTAACAATGTTCTGCAGATATTGTATGAACCAATCTGTTCCTGAGAACAAGAACTGACATATTCACCAACACACACACAAACACACACGTGCAAACACACACAAATATGTTCTAATGCCATAAAGCCTTCCAGCTCTTAATTTCAGGTCCACAAATCTACATTAGTTAACTAGACTGCATCCTGCATATTAGCCACAGGACCTCAACAGGGGGAGGAAAATGCAAGCATCTGTTTTAAAATACAGTGAGATGATTTAACTTTCTTTGTTGGCTGTGTGTCATTTTCCATCTATATCTTCTAAGCTTGCATGCTGGGACAAGCTGAACAATCAAATAGATAGTGAAAGAGTGAAAAGGGACAGAGACGGAAAAGTATAGCAATGGAGAACCTGGTAAAGTGACTGTAGTCCATGTGAGGAAAGGAGCAGGGGGTGTCAGTCAACTTCTGATTGGATGCACTCTGAGAGATGTCTTGACCAGGTCTTGAAGCATCTATAGAAGTACCAATAGGACAAGCTCACATTACCATAAACCATATGAGTTCACATAAATATGTTTCCATTTTTAAAGATTCATACCAGGATCTTTGTTTTCCTCTGTAGCAGCATCACCACACTCTTTTTGCTGCACTTGTTTAAGAAAATGGAGACGAGACTGAAAAGCCTAAAAGCAAGACAAAGTAAATCTGTCTGAAGCGTATGTTTCAGTGTAGCCCACTTAAAAAAATAAATAAATTAGAGTACATTATATATTCCAAAAGAAGACAGAATATATTGAATTAAAAGGGTTACCTTGGCAGAGCGTCCCGGCTCGGCCATTTCCCATGCTTTTTTAATGGCTTTAATCTGGTCTATTCTTTCTGTGTCTCTCTTAACGTCGATGCCTTTTGCTTTGCTGTTGTCCGTGACAACACGTAGCATCCAGTGTGGTTTAGTTAGGTCAAGGCTCTGCACAGACATTTGCACACAGAGTGCAAAGAACCCACAGAAAAAAATAACAAATGCTGAGACACACAAACACTAGAGCGGAAGGTCGGTTTGCTAAAGTACGCATGTCTACTTCAAACTTAGTTTTTTTGCCTTTGTTTTACACAACAGATAACTTTTCGTTTATTTGGAGATCGCTTAGTGTCTTTTCTCCATTAAAGTTGCGCTTACCATCCCATTTTAAATGAAAAACGAAGGAGGTCAGTATTAGAAAAACTTTTAAATGTCACCGTGCTTAATGGGGGAATTTAATGTGTGGCTGCTATTAAAATGCTGCTATTATGTGGATCATAGGTTTATTCATTCTATGACACTGTGGTAGCATCTGCCCTTTTCTATGCAGTGGCCTGCTGGGGGAGTGGATGCACGGACAGGGAAAGGAGCAGGATTGACAAACTGGTGCGGAGGTCTAGCTCCGTGCTGGGATGTCCCCTGGAGTCTGTGGAGGTGGTTGGTGAGGGGAGGATGTTAGTAAAGCTGACATCCATCATGAACAACCCACATCACCCACTGCATGAGTATGTGAGTGGGCTGAGCAGCTCCTTTAGTCAGAGACTGAAACACCCTCGCTGCAGGAAGGAGCGCTTTCGCAGATCATTCATCCCAACAGCAGTTAGACTCTATAACTCCTCAATCACAAAGTCATAAGTCACTGGACACTGTGAACATCCACGGTCACCACTTCATGCATAATGGACCTTCCATGACCTTCCAAGCTATATAGTTTATGTCTTCCATATTTCCAACTATATCCATAATCACATACTGTGTATGCTACCATTGTATATAGTGTATTATCTTACTTTTTTTTCATTGATTGTACTTATTTGTATTTTTGTATTTCCTTTTGATATCTGTACCTGAGCTGAGGTGACGCAAAAATTTCCCCGTTGTGGGATCAATAAAGTCTTATCTTATCTTATCTTATTGAGTGGTTCTGACTGACGAATCAAGTTCTTATCTGAGACTATTATTCACACTCACCATGCAGATTATGTTATCATGCATGGTGAATGTGTTTCAGACATCCTGTATACAGGCAGGCCAGAGATTTGGTTCACCCTGATATGCATTGCCTAGCATTTCATAGCTGGATGAACATCTTTGGAGAGACGTGAACTACACTGTCAAAACAAATGCCTCCATCCTGTACTCTTCAAACTACAACAAGACCTCTGTGACATATCTTAGCACCTTCTCTTAACTTAAAGGTCGCTGTGAAAAATAGATTTAGGTAAACATGGCCTTCAATCTGAGTGGGTGACTGTATAAACATGGGCATATACATGTGAACGCATGCATATACCTTTCTATAAGTGCTTTTATATTTCTACTCCTTATGTGCAGTTGACAGACTTGCAGAGTGGCGTTTTGTCTTTCCTGTACCATACTGTGGTAATACATTACCGTTTCGTTAGTGGCAGCTGGCTTCCCCTTGTCTCCTTTGGTTTTGCGCTGGGTTTTGGTTGCATCAGACTTGAGGCCGTCACGATTTGGTGTGCTAGTGGTAGATGAACGCTTTATATCCTCAAGCTTATTTTCTGCATTATGAAGCAGAGGTTAAGAACATTAACATTTTCTGTTGTCTTCTAAAAATCTGCTGTGCATTTAGCTTCATAAATACTTTAACTACGGTGTTCACTTTACATTAGATCTAGATTTAAGTTATTTAATGTTCTTATTGGGAAATGCTAAAATTTTAGATTTTTTTAAAAAATTGTTTCTAATGTGAAATGTTAGAATGCTTCAGTTTTGAATGCATGCCATGTCTATAGACATTCAACAGTATCAGATATTCACATTCTACTTAAACAATTAAAGATGGGGACTGCCACACAAACAGTGAAGGTGCTGTGCGGCTGAACGTATGCTAGATGGCACTGTTGCACTTTAAAAACTGAGTCAGATTCAATCCCCAGCTTAGATGAAGTATTAACTATGAGTCTCACTTCTCTGATATAAAGGCGTAATAATCCATCATTTAGCTGACACCCTGCCATTCTGCCTGAAGAGCTTTGGTGAATACTCAATGACTTACTCCTATCTCAAGACATAAAAAAAAAAATCAATGCTAAAACTGGATGTAAATATCAATCTGTGCTGTTGTAATTTATTCCAAAAGGATCCTGAAAACTGACTTAAGTTGGACATGCTTGAAGAAATTGTAAGAAAAGACTGTTGTGTGTTCTCATGGTAACGCTGCAAAGAATTGAGGCTGACTCCTCGAACAGTAGGACTTTAGGCAAATATGTGAAAATGTGCATGCATTCAAAAAATATAAGCAGTGCAGTTTTTGCGTTAACTACAGATTGTTAAACAGCTTGTTAAAGAGGTTTCAAGGCTTGGCGTGCCATGTAGTGCGTGCGTATCCATGTAGCATGCAGGGAGCATGATCAAGGGCAGAGGCTCACCACTGAGACAGAGTTAAACTGGATGAAATTAATTCACTTTCCTGCTGAGATATTTCCCAGGACACCAGGGGGCAAGAGCCTGCTTCATTTGACATCCCACTGACCCATTTTCATAAGCTTAGGGAAAACATAGACGGTTTTGTATGGACACTGGCATATAGATAGATATGTGGGCTAATGTGAGCATAAACTGGCAAAAAAAACTCTTAACATGCAGGAAAAACAACATTTAAAAAGACAGAAAAACACTGTCTATTTATGGCAGTCTCAAATGACAGTGTTCATTTTACACGCTGACACACACACACACACACACCCAAACACACATGTCACCTGTAGATTTCATATCATGCAAATGGAATAACTGAATGGTTAAGTACGGGGAACATTGGCATCAGCTCTGGTGAAAACGCAACAGAAATTCGGTGATAGCAAGCTTCCTTTCCTCTCCAGGCATTCATGCACGCTCTCCCCATGCAGCAATCCGTTCAAATCAGCATCGACAGATGCTGCGATTATTTCATCCCCTTCAATTTTTTTTATTTTTTTTAAGAAGCTTCAACCAATTTCAAAGACGTGATTTTTCAATTGATCCAATTTGTATAGCATGATTAAAGGCAGAGAACCAAGAGCTGGTGGCAGAGGACGGGATTACTGCCACAGCCAGCGACCACTGGGCACAAGAAATCACACTCTGTGATCTGCAAAAGCAGCTGCATTCATTTGGCTTTCATTACAGTTGTGATTACAGGCCCATGGCAAGTGGAAGCACAGAATAAACTGTGCCTGTCTTGGCCCCTGACACTGCCTACTGAGTATCACTCACATTTCAGACTGAACACAAAATAAACTGTGCGAAAACAAACATTAAGGGCTTAGTAGAAAATCCATTCAGAACCAAGTGCTTAAATGCTGACAAAGTTTTGATGGAATAATAAAAATGAACTGCTTTATGGCCCATTACAGTCCTATCTGTGAGAAGATTCATGGCACTATAGTGAACAATCCAATCATATGTGTATGTTTTCCAGGAAAAAGATGCAAACAGGGTTTCTTTCCTGGCTGCCCCCTTGGAAACCGATGTGGTAATAGTAAATGCCTTGAGTATGTACCTCTTGTCTCATTGTTCTCCAAGTCTTTGACTGAACAAGCAAAAGCCAACTGGGATTCACTCAGATTCCAGGTCTTATAAAGCACCTCTGCCTGCACCACGTACTTGTGAACCTGTGAAACATGGATGAACAATGTATAACACCTGCATCAGAGTACAATGTAACGCATTACACACATACAAAAAAAGGCATATACGATATGATTTATGCAGGAATCAAAACTATGAACTAAAGCCAACACAACCTGACGATATACTATAAATATCTGCATCAGTGCTGCTGTGGTAAACAATTAAAGTGCATGTTCACCACAAAAAGTGAGTGAAGGCAGAGGGCTGGTTAGCCAAGGTTATCTCATGTAACACCCACGTCCATCACACTGAACGGAAAGGACAGAATTCAGACAAAATTCCAAGAATTAAATCAAGCGTATAAAGAAAGAGAAAAAGCACTACAAAAAATAAAAGTGGCATATATTTAATTTTTTTCCCATTCGCTTACATATATCTTTGAGTCCCCCCCCCTCCCCAACTCACCCTACACAAGTCTTTACAATTATTCCACCATTACGATGCATCATTGTGTGTGTTGTGAGTCCCTGTGGCAAACAACGCCACCCTATTCACTCACCCTCTGCTTTAAGTCTTTATCTGCTCTAAGCTCTAATCAATAGCTGCTATCAGTGTCATCTGACATTATCTGTCTTAGTGCTACTGACTCACTGTGTTCCCAAAAAAAGATTTAAAAACACACATGGCGTATCCGAAGCGAACGTCTTAACAGGTCAAAAATACATGTTTTTGTAGCCTTAATTCACTGCTTTAACTGCGGCATTAACTGTGTGTATTTGTGAAAATTTGCTGTGTGTATTTGTGAGTATTTGCTGAGGAAATGCGATTATTATTCACCAGATGCATCACTGTAAAAAAAAATCACCACAGAAAAGAATGAATAATAATAATAATAATGAATGACAATAACTATTTTTCATTTTCCACTGTATGCGTGTGCATGTGAATATGTGATGATACACACCTACAGAGCATAACATATGCTTTTGCAACCCTTAAACTAAGACAACAGGTGTGTTAGATGGGGGGTCTTCAGACATTACAGTGAGTCATAAATCATGCACAAATCATGGCTCCCTGACAAGCACTGATAAGTCAGACAGTAAAAAAAACACAACCCCCCAGTTTCTGCTGCTCTCCTCTTCTTGTCAAATTGTGTCTCTGAGAATGTGAGTGTGGGTGAGACTAAATTTGTGTGTGTGTGTGTGTGCTTACAGGCGTAATCTGGCAGAAAAAAATGATATCAACAGGCAGCAAGCACGTGGGTGAGAGAGACAGAGAGGGAAAGTGAGAAGCCCATGAAAGTGAGAATAGTTAAGTGTTTGAGCAATAGCAGATACCACGCAGACAGTTGTCAGTGATACCATAGTCTCTGTGGGAGGCTGGTACTGGTCAGATGAGGAGATAGATTTTTTAACTGCGCTGTCTTCCCCTTCGTTTTGCTGGAGAGTGTTCTCCGAAGGAGACTGCTCCTGTTTATTTTCTTCGGTGTCTGTAACAGAAAGAGAAATCTATTAACGCTGATAAAAGACAAGAATAATGAATATACTAGGAAACATTTTATAAACACTCTAGCATCTGGTCCAAATAAGTGCACAATTCTAAAGCTCTTCTCCTATTATTTTAACATTTAAAATTGACTCTGAATAACAGGTAGAGTTCCAGCATATTAAGAACGCTCGCTCGTGCTTTCCGAAGTGGTTTAAGGGCGGTTTTTGTGTACAATTTGGTTTTAAAATGAGCATACAACAGCAGAGCTTTCTCTCAGCATATGAGAGAACAAAAAGTGCCACATTTAAAATGTTTTCTGCAAAACGAAAATCATACTCAAAAGGTCGGGAGGAACATGGAACTCTTTTACGAAGGATTTTGTAGAAATTGCTGGCCAGCTGTGGATTGTTGGACAGCTAAAAGATGAAAAGAAAAACAAAATAAAAGAGTAGGAGGAAAGATAATCCTCTTTTTTTTTAAGTACAGCATATGTTTAAAAACCCCCAAACCCTATTAATATTAGCAGTGTTGACTGCTGAATCCGTTTTAACATTAGTAGCATACCACCTTCCTCATAAATTTGACGTGTCTTGTGTGTGATTGTCTTGTATATTCGTGAAACACTACAAATGTTACTGTAAGTAGAATAAAGATTCAGGTTTGCTGTTGGCAGGCTGCAGTAGCTCTCACCAACTAAAACTGCAAGGTGGAATTTCAAGAACTACTGAACAACTACGGTCACAAAAAGTTACTGAAAGAATCAGTAAAACTGTGAGACAGTTAAATTGGTTTCATATGTCGAGTGTTAAATTATGATACACAGATCATCACAAGCTTTGCTTACTGCACCTAATGACACCTCACCTTTGTTCGCCAGGAAGAAAAAAACAGGAATCACCACATGGCCCTTCCCGGTTTTGTCAGCTACTTGTTTCTCATGGTCCAGAATGGATAGACGTATCAATACATCTGGGTGGGAAGTCTGAAGCTGAACGGTTGCTACAGTGTCTGTTGTTACATGTACTCTGTAACTATAAAACATTTCACATTATAGCATTAAATTCTCAGAGTATCCCTGCTTTTTCCATTTTATTAACATTAAAAAACAACACTGTATGCCATATAATTCTCTTACCAACAAATGAGATTTTTGTTATTTGGAATGTAATAATCCCGGAATTCCTCTACTGAGAATTCACTAACTGGGGTGTCACGGGACAGCTTTGGAAGTGGTTCCTTTGAGC